CACCAGTAGTTCCGAGACACCAGCTCCAGCGTCTTGAACCGGCCGGCGTGACCGGCGATTCGGGTGTCGTGGTGCTGCTCGAGGATGCGCCGGCGGAGATCCTTGTCTCGGGGAACAACGATCTTACCTCGGAAGTACAAGAGCCCACCCTCAGAGTTCCACTCGGCACTTCGAGAGGACCGGGCGCCCCGGACTTTGAGTAGCTCCTTCGCGGCAAGCGCAATGGGCTCCTCGAGGTCCGGATTCGCCGAAAGCGCCTCTCGGATGTCCCGGAGAATTGGCACCTCCGGACCGGCGACGACCACACCCTCCGTAGCTCGAACGTGGAATAACTCCGGACGCAGGAGTGTGACGTCCTGATTGTCTGAAGTCACCCCGTGGTCCGGGCGGCGGGAGAGCGCGTCCGGGCGGCCCATGCGACTTCCGGGCTGATGGTGGAGGGAGATGTCGAACCGGGACAGGTAGAGCGACCACCGAGCCTGCCTCCGGTTGAGATGCTGGGCCTTCCGGAAGTACTCCAGATTTTTGTGGTCGGTCCAGACCTCTACCGGATGTTCAGCGCCCTCGAGGAAATGCCGCCACTCCTCGAGCGCACGAACGATCGCGAGCATCTCCTTGTCGTGGATCTCATAGTTGCGCTGGACGTCATTGAGGCTTTTAGAGAAAAAGGCCACCGGATGCCATTTCTCGTCCGAGCCCAACTGCGAAAGCACCGCACCGGTCGCAAAGTCCGAGCTGTCCGCCTCCAGGCGATAAGGCCGGGAGGGGTCCGGGAGAATTAGAACAGGCTCGGAGGTTACCAAATTTTTTAACGCCTGGAAGGCAGAGGCCTCGGCGTTTCCCCAGGTCCACCGGACGTCCTTCTTCGTGAGGTTGAAGAGCGGCCGGGCCACGTCCGAAAAACCGCCGATAAATCGCCGGTAAAAGTTCGTGAAGCCGAGGAACTGCTGCACGTCCTTCCGGTTTGCCGGCGCTGGCCAGGCGGCAACTCCGGCGATTTTTACGGGGTCCATCCGGACACGGTCGTGTGAGATAATAACGCCGAGGTACTCTATCTCCGATTTTTCGAACTCGCATTTCTCCGGCCGGAGGTACAGCTTATGCTTCCGGAGGCGCCGGAGAACTTCCGCGACAATTCGGCGATGCGTCCGGAGGTCCGAGTGGGCGATGAGGATATCGTCCAGGTAAACCATGACGTCCCCCGAGAGGATGAGATCCTGGAAGATGTCATTCATCATGGTCTGGAACGTCGCCGGAGAATTGGTGAGTCCGAAATACATCACCAATGGCTCGAAGAGCCCCCGGTTGGTCCGGAACGCCGCCTTCCACTCGTCGCCTTCCCGGATGCGGACATTGTTGAAACCCCACCGGACATCGAGTTTGGTAAAGAACCGGGCTCCCTTTAACCGGTTAATAAGGTCGTTGATCAAGGGAATGGGGTACCGGTTCTTTATCGTCATCGCGTTAAGTGCTCGATAGTCCTGGACGAACCGGAGGCTGCCGTCCTTCTTTTTAATGAAGAAGACCGGCGACGCCATCGGCGATTTCGAAGGCCGGATCCGGCCGGTCGCCAACCCCTCTTCGATGAAGGCATCGAGTTCCTTCTGCTCGAGGGGCGAGATCGGGTAGACCTTACAGTTCGTCGGCTTCGAGTCCGGGACGAGCTCGATGGCGTGGTCCCAGGTCCGGCGCTCCGGCAGGGAGTCAAACGACTCCTTGCTGAAAACGTCCGAGAACTCCCGGGCCCACTCGGGGATTTCTGTCGATGGCGGTGCCGAGTTCCGGGCGAAAGCCTCGGCGAGTCGCTGCGAGACGGTAGCGCCGGCTCGGATGTATTCGGGGGACGGCGGGGGTTGGAATTGAGTGTAGAAGATCCGGTCGCTGTCCTCGATGGGCTCATCCGAGTCGTCAAAATCGCCGAAATCGCCGAATTCGTCGGCGGTTTCGCCGGCGTCCTCGTCATCGTCCTCGCAGTCCGGGTCCGGAGAAAGGCCGGGGAGGTCTTCAGCAGAATCGCCGAAATCACCGGGTTCGCCGGCGTCCAGGCCGCGGATCTCGGGGAAAGGCTCCGAACGGATCGACCGGAGGATTCGGGCGGTGGCCTTTGCAATCCGGTGTTCTGCTCGGACTTCGTCTCGGCAGGTGGTGCAAGTCGCCGGGCATCGGCTCATCTTGACCTCTTGGGTGTCCCAGTTAATCTCCGGGTTGTGTTTCCGGAGCCAGGAGTATCCAAGGATGAGCTTCTGCTTGCCCAGCCGCGTGACGGCGAGCTGGACCCGTTCTGAATGCCCTTCATAGCGGAGGACGATGTCGGCAATTTCCCGGATAGCGCCGGCTTCGTTTGGGGTGCCGTCGACGTTGTAGACCGGGATAGCCCGCGTCAACCTCCGAAGAGGGAGGCCAATCGCCGAGGCGTACTCCGAATCAATAAATTCGGAGGTTGCCCCGCAGTCCACCAGCCCGTCAACCGAAAGCTTGAGTGCGCTCTCGGTGGACTCGATCTCCAGGGGCAAGTGCAGCGAATTAACCCCCGGGGTCGCCGCAACGGTGTAGCGCTTGGGGAGCCGGCGTTCCCACTTAGGTCTCCGGGGTTCGCCGGAGGTTTTCGCCGGCGACTCGGCGATTTTCGGAGGTTTCGGCGAATCTCCGGGCACCGCCGGGGGTTTTAGTGCGTCTCCCGTCTCGGGTGTGCAGTCCAATAAATCATCGCATTCATTGTACAGACATCCGAAACGGTTATAGGACGCGAACGAGGGCGCACCGCTCACTCGTCGCGAGAGACAAAACCCTCTGGCTCCTGCGGTTCCTCCGAAACCGCCGGGAGATCGCCGGATGTGGCGAGCCGAGCGACCAGCTCCTCCAACAGCTCACCTCCGAGCTGCCGGATCACTTCGTCCAGCACATCCGCCGACCGCACATCGTGCAGAACCGGGCATTCGCGAGCGAGATGCCCGGGGTCACCACAACGATAGCAAGTGCGACGTAAAGTGCCGCGGGCGCGGGCTCGGTCGACATCCATCGGGACCGGGGCTTGCGGGGGCTGCGCCGGCGATCGAATCGCCGAGGGAATCGCCGGGGGCGCCGGGGCAGCTGCCGGCGGACGTAGGCGTGACGGCGCCGCCGGAGGTTTTGGTAAACCGCCGATGGTGCGCGAGCGGACCTGCGACTCGTACTGCCGGTACGCACGGAGACGCCACGCGGGGTAATCCCGGAGGTTTGGTGGCTCGGAGGATGACGTGATGGCGAAATTAATCGCCGGGTCGAGCCCGGCGCGGTACTTCGAGACCTTAATGAGCGGGTCTTCGAATCCGGCGAGGTCTACGAGGTCCTCGAAGTCGTCCGTGTACCGGAAGACGTCTCGGGCGCCCATAAAATAGCCCCGGGACTCCAGCTTCGCCAGCGCGTGGTCCTGCTCGTTTTCCTCCACGAACCGCAGCCGAAACTCCCGGACAAAGTCCGCCCAGGTGGGGAAGGGGAACGGGCTTTTCGCCGACTGGCGTTCGGCCCAGCGCTGCGCCGCGTCTTTCGCCATATAGGACATGGCGTAGTGCACCGCTTTCTCCTCGGAGGTTGTACCGTCCTCGAGAAAAGCCTCCGGGACGAGCCGGACGTACGTCTTGACGGCGTGCAGGAAAGACCGACCCTGCGTGCGGTCACCGTCAAAGACGAAAGGGGGATTCGGCCGGAGGACCGATTTTGGCGCCTTGGGTACATCGGCGAATAACTCTGAACTCTCGGCCGGAGCCGAAACGGCAGGGGCCGGAGCAGGCGAATTTTGATTTAAAGTATTAAGCCCTAGAAGGCTTTGCAGCGCCGCCTCGATCCGGGCCATGCGATCCTCGATGCTGGCAGCAGTGCCGGAGGTCGACGGATCATCCATGGCGGGATTTTGGAGGGGGGAGGAGGGGTCGAAATTCGAGTTCGGAGACGCCGGGGATTCGTATCCGGAGTTAGAGTCCGAATCGCCGAGCTGGTCTGCGAACCTCGCAATGTTGACCGGTTGATCCCTTGGAGACTTGTGTCTGCTGTAAGGGCAACTCCGCGGCCCGAGAATACTCAAGAGTCTGACGGAGGGGGATCCGAAGTCAATACATAAACCGTAACTAATACAAAGAGCGCACCTGACGGAGGGGGATCCGAAGAGACACAAGTCTGAGGATCCCCTCCGCCCAGCGGCAATATATATACTCGGTCCGTAGCTACGTGTCCGGAGGTAAGTAAGGCCGTGACGTCTCAAACGTGTTTCACGGCTCGGCATTACGGAATGGGGTTGTTTCGAGGGCGCGGCGCTGCCGGCACAGATCGCGGGCCTGGTCGCAGGCCCGGTGCCACCGGGAATGGGTGCTGGGGGGCGGAGGACGAAGTCCGGAGGTGCACCGGCGATTGGCAGCGCCGGGGGCGGCTGCGCCGGCGGTTCGGCGGTTCGGCGAATCGCCGGTTCGGCGATTCGGCGATTTAGGAGGCGTCTCGGCGGTTCGGCGGTTCGGCGAATCGCCGGCTCGGCGATTCGGCGATTCGGAGGTTCGGCGATTCGGCGATCGGGGCTCGGAGGTAGCGTGCGAGCGAGGGGTTCCCCTTACAGTCTCCCCTCCAAAACAAGTCTGAAAGTGGGTTTGCGGACATGCGCAAGCAACCAGAAGGTTGTCAGAAGGTGAAAAAAAATTGAGCTAATGATGGTGATGTCGAACACACGTGATAGCTAAAGGCTTTACTAAGGGGCAAAATTTCCACCAGAAAATCTAAAGGCCTTTATAAGGGTCTTCTTAAGGCCTTTAGCGCTAAAGGCCTTTATTTATTTATTTTGGATGTGCGTTTGTTATGACCGCCGGCAATTAATAATGGATTAACCCCTTTGGTCCGCAAAGTTGCAGAATTTTGGTCCGCAATCATGCAGAAATTAATCTGCACCAAAGGGTAGGAATGCATTTACGCACGAACGGCATAATGCCGAACAGTGTGGGACTCGACCGTTAGGTAATACCCACTAAACCTCCCAAGGATGGCTTTACTGAGGCTCGAACTCAGGACCTCCGGTTTACCCAGAGACCAGGGGGGCGTGGTAACCATTACACCATGCACCCCCTAAAGGCCTTTACCCTTTAGGCGAACACTGGTTCAAAGTTGCAGTGCATGATAAAGACATGTCGTCGAGGAGCGCAGTGTTACAGATAGTGACCGCCGAGCGCGTAGGTGATGTAAAGTCCCATCTCCGCCTCAATGATCTCTGCCTCAATGATCTTCACTGCAATATCTGGGACATATCCACAGGTTATGTTGAAGCCCAGAGCTGATACCTCAGTAAGCCCACTGCCTGGATAGGCTTGTTCCAACACGTCATGCAGACTTCCATTTGACAACCCTAATGTCTTAGAGTCATCCAGGCCGGTGATCCATGGCAAGATTGCGCCGTTGCCTGCAATGTAACTTAGAGTGGAACTGGTGGTTGTCAATCCGGGAACATAAGTAAGTACATGGCACACCTACTTGTCGACAGTGTCAGACCATTCTGGAATACTCCGTGTCTGTACTTTGGTCGAGACAGACAGGTTGAATGATTCCACAGAGACGAGTGCTGAAGTTGTTACATGTAGACCAGAGATTGTTGCCAAATACAGCCAGATAATCAATATTTCGAGACATGGCCCCGGTGATTTGATTTTCTCGTATAGAGTTGAAAAGGCAGATCCAATTCCAGTCCATGCTATACTTTTTTCATGGATTGCAGTGAGAAGCGAATATTTGTGGATTGTATTCGTTGTTGCCAATCTCTGCGTCAAATAGATGAGGATGGCATAAAATATCTGTGAAAAGTGAATTAGATAGAGGAGGCTTAATAATTCTTACTGTTCCAAAAGCTGTTGTTGCAATTTTGCATATCAAAGAAACAGATTGCTGTTTGTCTAAAGAGAATATAATGCTGTGCTCTTTTCTTTGCACGGCGAACACCAATGCGATAATATGGGTCATCACAAGCAAGCCATGCATTAGCATGCATAGTGTTGAAGTCTTGGCTGCAAACGAAGCTAAGCATATATAAGTACGCGCATCTTGGCAAATAAAATAAATACCAGGAATTGATTGAAGCAAAGTTGAACTTGAATGACCCCTAAATGCCAATTGATTTTCTTTCGGGCCTGTATCATGACGACCTGGTTGGTTTCTATGCTGTTGCAGAGGGGTCAGTCCTGCCGTCCGAAGGTTGGATTCAGTTGGTTGTTGAACATCTGTGATGGGAGTTAAAGCTTTTCGCTGATTACGCCACCACCAAATGTTGGCTAGCAAGCCAACCCCTTGTAACCTGCTGCCCCCGGGCTTTATCGGGGTCCATAGGAATTTGATACACAGGCTCATTTGAATGACCGAGGTTATAAGTCCAAGTGAAACCTGCACACTCCTGAGTGATTTGTCTGGATTGAACCCTTTTAGCCACACGCACCGCGATTAAGTTTAACTTATGGTGAATTCAGTTTAAGATTATTTTGGGTCATTCACTCCTTACATTTAATCTGATCTGTAACCTTTCTTGCTGAACAATGGTTGCATTCCCCACTACCAAGTCAGTGGGTATTCCTCTGCCGTGACTGGAAAGCGTATATGCGGTGTACCAGTGGTCAACTGTCACATGCCCCCCTCAAAATGCATGAGTAACCTCCGCTCCAGTGCAAGGAATACTCACCTGTCCAGAAAAGCATGGCAACAACGTTTGACAGCGCATTTTCGATGTCGTGTAGTTGCAATGCAGGGGAAGATGTGTTCGCAAAAGGATCAAGACGAAGGTAGGACATCAGATATCTGCTCCAATGTTCACACTTGGTATGAATGCAGTTGTGTCACTTACTCTTCTAGCGCGCCAATAAAAATATCGGAATCTTCCGAGAACATGGCCGACCACTGATGCGCGTTAGATAACAGTTTGGAACAAAAGGTTTTATCACACCGAGTCGTCGCCCAGAAGACTGGAGTCCTGCGAGGCAAAATCTAACTCAAGGCCCGATATCCAAGTGGACTGGGTCTTGTGGATATCCGGATAAAGACTACCATTAATGATGGCATTGGATTGTGCAGAAATTAGTCCATTTTGAGTAACCAATGACTTGGAGCACAGAAAAGCGGACCCTGTATTTACGACTGTACATAACCTGTATCCTTCGTAATGTACCTCAGTCTTGCCATATCCCCCGTCCCTCGCTTGCGCTCGATACTCCGGCCCTCGACTCCCCGAACCTGATTTAAAAGGTTATGGGCCCCGAATCACTTCCTCCCGTGCTCCCTGGCTTTCCTGTTGTCACTGCAACTCGCTCCACTCATGACCACGATGCCACTTCTTCGACCGCCCCCCTCAACGTCTTGAGTGCGACCCCGACGACCCCTGTGACATCTACAACCACCTGCGACTGCTCGGCGATGGCAACGCCCTGCGATTAGGGGAAGTCAGAGTGACCCGAAACTGACGACGAAACAATTTCGAAACTCAGGCCTGTTTCGAGACTGTTTCGCTGTTTCGAGTTTCGAAGTTGTTTCGCTGTTCCTCCTCCAGAGGAGGAACTCGACAGAATCGATTTCGAAACAGATTCAAAACTCGGTTTGATGGCTCAGAATCGATGACAGAATCGATTCTCTGTTTCGCCCGACTTTTGGGGTCGGTCAGAGTTACCGTCGAAACTAACTCGAAACTGGACTCAGTTTTGAGTTCTGTTTCGATGCTGTTTCGTTCGTGTTTCTTTCCACTCTGACTTCCCCTATTGCATCCCTCCCCGTGTATCACCGACTTCGACTTGGACCCCATCATGATGTATCACCGAGTACAAACCCCCGAACCTGACCGAACGAACGAATTGACGAACTGATGAACCGACGAGTGCCGAATGCAGCCGCGATGGTTGTATTGCCCGACTCCCGAACGAACGAACTGACGAGTGCCGAATGCAGCCACGATGGCTGTATTGTCCGACTCGGCCCCGAACGAACGAATCGACGAATCCGAATGAAAGAACCGATCTGATTACCACTGAGTGCGCACGGCGGCCAGTGGGAGTGTTACAGATAGTGGCCGTGTAGCCGGGACCCGGACCCTGGACTATATTCAGAGACACTACGTAAGCGGACCCTGTATTTACGACTGTACATAACCCGTATCCTTCGTAATGTACCTCAGTCTTGCCGTATCCCCCGTCCCTCGCTTGCGCTCGATACTCCGGCCCTCGACTCCCCGAACCTGATTTAAAAAGCAGAGATGGTGTTTTGGGGGCCGAACAAAGTAACCCGAAGATAGAGGCGGTCGAGGGGAGAAAGGGGGTGGGGATGGAGCGCATGCCAGTGGTTCTGCTGTTAGTTCGCTTGAACCAAGAGGTCCGGCCATCAAAAATTGATGGCATTGAGGTCCCGCCGACCTTAATTTGCACGGACCTCTTGGTATTTGTCATGGTCGTGCAGCGTTGTGTCCACTGCACCACGCGCACGTTTTCCGGAACCCGGGCCAGGGGCTAAGTGAAAGACAATTGTGTTAATGATGTCATAGATAAGAGATAATCAAACTTGATGCCGCCGGCCCACCTGCCCCCGCTCAGACAGATATGCTTTTACAGGTTCGGGAAACCCATGCCCAAATTCGCGCCCCGCGGGGGCCGAAAATTTGCCCCAATTCCATAATGGGCTACCTAAAAATCGCGAATTCGAATTTTCAACAGGCCTCAAATTTTTGTTTTCCCCTTGTTTTTGCCGGTAGAATTTGATTTTTCGCGCTGTCTACTCTTCTACATCCCCACCGTTCTTTCGGTTATACTCCTTCACAGCATTCTTGAGTTTGTGATGCTCTGAGTCCTTCCGAAAAAAAGCGGATCACAGATTCGGATGGCATCAGCATAATATCAGAGGTCTGGTCGTGTCATGTATTCGTGCAGTGGTTAGTAGTGAGGGTCAGTGAAGATTGCATTATGGTTAGACGTAAAAGGCAGCTGGCTGTTGATCAGAAGCTGATTGATAGCAATGACATTGTGGCAGCTGTTTGACTTTGGACCAAAAAGTCTCCAAAAATGGCAAACACCCAGCCTAGACCACTCAAATGCCCGAATCTGTACAGGGATATTGGTCTATTATATTCGCTGGAGGACAGTGGCGGCACGACCTGATGGCTGGCAAATAGAAGCCGGAATGATGCGACTCACGTCGCGGCCAAATGCCATGTACCTGGGCTGATATATAAAAGCTGCCTCTGCAGAGGTCTTGATGCACCGGGTACCTACGCTAATCAGCGACCGTTGATATATCACTCCCCCATGCTAAAGCCTACCCAGGATCTTACATACAAATCGTCATGGACATCATCTTTCTCTCAATGATCATCCAGAGCCTTCACAACCACAATTCATCGTTACCCACTACATTCCGCCAATGCGCGGTATATCAGAGGGTGACAGATCATCCTCAAAATCATCCTTCTCCATCCACCCTACACAGCCTGGCGGGTCCTAGACCACAATTTTGCCCAAATCTGTACAGGGATATTGGTCTATTATTCGAGGTCCTCTGGGGGACAGTGGCTGCCAAATAGAAGCCGGAATGTACCTAGGCTGATATCTCAAAGTACATCAGGCACCTACGCTAATCAGCGACCATTGATATATCACTCCCCCATACTAAAGCCTACCCAGGATCTTGCAAATCGTCATGGACATCATCCTTCTCTCAATGATCATCCAGAGCCTTCATAACCATAATTCATCGTTACCCACTACATTCCGCCAATGCGTGGTATATCAGAGGGTGTCAGATCATCCTCAATGAGTCAAAATCATCCTTCTCTCGACATCCATCCACAGCCCTCACGACCACAATTCGTAAATGCATTCCAAGGATGCCAAACACATTAATTTTACCGCTCCTTTTCCTTTCCATTCTTTATGGCTGCTGCGCACGCCCTCGCCGAGTTCCAGTTGCTCAGCCTCCGTTTAATCGATAACATTCAAATTGGGTTCTTCGTCCTCGCAGTAAGTTCTTTGCATCTCCTCGAATCGCGCCTTAACTTTGTCCAATGTAAAGGGCGAGGTTTTTTTCTACGGTGCACCCGCATCTTTCTACCACA